ATTTCATAGGATTTAAACTTTGTGGTCCTCCAATTGTGAATTTTCATTGCAACTCCCTTAGCTTGTCTTCAATATCTAGTCTATTCTCTCCCCTCCTGCCCTCAAATTAGGGACTAAGCAGTGCACCAGGTGCATGAAGAGCTCGCGGGCTGCACTGTGCTGCTCCAGACCATGTGCCACAAGGAGCAGTAGGGATTAGCGTTTTCACACATTGTTGCAATATGTTGGCGGGACTCCACTTTCACTCTTGTGTTTTCTTCTATTTGGTACTTGTCTTGTACTTTGCTACTGATTATTTGTATTACCACATGTGAAATAAGGAAAGTATATGGGACCTGGAGAGTAATTCTGCTTCTAATGCAGGTATAGGTAACAAAATATAACAAAATACATATATAACAAAATATAATATATATGTTTATAACAATATATTTTATATATAACAAAGTATATTATAACATATACAAATATAAGAAAATATAACAAAACAAAATACACTTTTTCATATTGTTCTTCAAGGTAACAAAAAACACAATGTTTCTTTATTAAATTGATGGCAAGTGGCTTGCGCTATAACAAATGTAGTTGTTGATGGATGTTAGGCCATTTTGTTCTCTTCAATTTTTGAGCAGYCTGGAGTAGGAAGCGCCCAGGGAACCCCAAGCTTTGCCTTTCAGAGTGCGATTTGAGGTAAATTCCTCCTCGTATGCAGTAGCAGGACAAGTAGATGATTTATTTTCTAATATTTCTTTCCCTTGTGCATACCAAGTCTGCACACGCACACAGGGACTGCAAAGAATCCAAAGCACTGCTTGCCCTGGAGGTAGATGTCATGAAGCTGTTCCTATAATATAWATGTTATTATAACAAGATTTAATCAAAATATAGACCACTACTGCTAGTGTGATGTTTTGATAAATGCTTTGTGTTAGAGACAATAATTTCCTACTGAGAAATTTGTTACTTAAGTCTGCAGCCAGCAGCAGAGCTCTTTGGAGAGATTCTTGCTCCCACACTGGCTATAATTTAAACTTATTTTCATTACATTTAATCTTATTTAAGCATTATACAGGCAGTTGCCAGTAACTTCCTCTCTATGTAGTGCATCTTCCAGTGTAAAATTTTGGGAAAGAGCACTTGCATTTCTGGTTGTTTTGCCCTCAGCACAACTGGAGAGGAATAGCGGGTAAGCGGGAGGCTGCACCGCCTGGGCGGCCGCTTGGCCTGAGGCCTYTGGCCGAGACCAGGACTCCTCCTGCAGCCTCCCCACACCCTCGCGCTGCCTCCCGCCCTCGGCCTGCGCCAGCCCCGGTGCCTGGGTCACCGCTCAGGATTGTGGGGTTATGGGGTGGGGAGGCCCCAGTCCCAAGGCGCTTCTCTCAGCAGCCCTCCTTAGACCCGAGCTGCAGGTGGCCAATTGGCAGAGTAGCTTTTTTGCAGTATTGTGNTTTTTTTTTTTTTTTTGCTTTGGTAGTTGTTTTTAAAGTAAAAAAAAATGCTGAATCTTTGCAGCTAGGGCTAGGCTAATTTTTAGAGGCTTATTTTAAATTGGGTGAAGGAGGCGTGATAAGGGCAGACAAACAGACTTTCCAGAGTCCTTTATTGTTATGAAAATACATTTTCTGTATATCATTATGGAAGAATTGGGTGTCAGTTGTTCACAGAAAAAATAATTGTATTTGTTATTGTTTTTAATAGCTTTGTGAACTAGATTTTGGCTTTCAATGGGGGAAAGCAGTCATACTAATGTATCAAGGCAGTAATCAAGTGCTGGGTGTAGACTTCTCAAACTATTTCTGCTTAATGACAGATTCTGTGTTTCTGCCCAAAGGCAGATGGAATGTGTTGGCAAAGATAGCATTAAAGCTTAGCAACAAAAACACCAGCCCAAATCTTTAAACAACACTGAACTCTTCCTGGTAGTTGAAGAGTCTTCATTCAGTTTGAAGAAACTTTTTCCATGTTTATGTGTTGAGATTAAATGTTTCAGTCCTGAAGGGTAAAARCAAACAAACAAAAATTGCATATGTAAATCACTTCTGATTAAGTTTTGTAAGCTCTTTCAGAATGGACTGCAGTGTTGTATGTTGGTACACAGCGCAGGTGGCACTCAGTGCCATGGATAAATTGGGCTGGTTTTGCTTATGAAAGGTGCACAGCACACAGTGGACATGTTTGTTTCCCCCTCCYGGAGAATGGTTTGGAACTACCCACCTGTGCTATTTCATCAGATAAGCATCAGATGATGCTTATAAAATAAGCTGCTGCTCATCATTGTATTTTAAGTGCAGATTTCAACTTCAAAACGGTATTTAAATTCTTCTGCTAGCAGAGACAAACAACTAAGTCTAATAAATCCTGTTTTACATGTTGGTTGGTATCTTCTATGCGCAAGTTGCTCTGGAACTTACTGATATGAAAGGCCTGCCTACTTTAGCAACTAAAAGAATTATGTTCTGCTTAACATAGATTTCTTCTCCCCCCCCCCCCCCCCTTGGTTTTCAAGGATGCTTTGTTAAGCTAAAGGCTGCTGGTCAGATTAATGGAGACAAGACAGAATCGCTCTCTTGACACATTTTTTTGCAAGTATGAACCCAAGTTCATTATTTCGGTCTCTGAACCAGTACACTCCTGTCCTGTGGGAAGTGCTGCTTGTGCTTTGAAGCATGTCACAGGATTAGAGCACAGYGCTTTGAGGGTAGCCCAGAGGCATTATGTCTCAATGATTTAAGTGAAGCTGATTTTTAAAATGGTTTTAGCACATGCGCTCGTACACAAATCCACACAGATGGTATTCAAAATCCAGGCTGCTTGGGCTCACCTGGTAACACAGCAGCTGCAGGGTTTCCAGGGGTGGTTCTTGACCATTTTATATGTCCTGGTTTGTGCTTAAATGTGATCAAAAGGTGTCCAGTGTCTTCAAACTGTGCTCAGAGGAGGTAGAAACCTTTTCAGTGAGACATTGAAAGTGGTTAAAAAAACAAATGGACAAAAAAGGGTATTTGACAAAATGAGTGCAGACTCGTATGAATTAAATCATAACGAGTTGCTCCCCAAATGTTCAGTAAAGATGTGTAGTCTTCAAATGAAGTATTACTCTTTTTTTTTTAAATACAAAAAAGAAAGAGGGGTAACATGAAACTTCTCTCTTGCTTAAATCTTTATCTCCCATGTTGGTCAACAATATGGCCTAGGGAAGAGGACAAAACAGCCTGTCGTGTTTTTCCTAAGTACTATCCCAATGGCCAAGAACTTGTGGCTGAGAAACCTGGGGAGATGGTTTTGTCCCTAGTGGTCTTTGAAGTGTCATTCAACTGTGAATTTATCTTGTTGCTTTTTGAGCCTCTGTAAATCTTAACATATACTTCATTTTTCTTCTAAGTGAAGACAATAACAGTCCTGCCCTCTTTGCTTTCTCCATGTCAGTCATGGCTTGCAGATCTGTTGTATCTGCTCTGATTCATCTCTTTTCCTGTTTGAAATATCCTGTCCGATGAATTATTTGTCATGGGGAAGCTCTTCCATGTCTCTTGTCAGAACTTCTGCTCTTCGGGAACCTTTCCCAATCCCACTACGTCCTTTTGGTGACGGAGGAGATCTACTTGTAGCATTCAAAGAGGGTTGATTTCACTTCTGCTTTTAGAAGAAGCAAGCATTTTGAAGTACTGCTCATTTTATTCTAGATTTCTTCCCAGAATTGACTTTTTTTTTAGTTTTTTTGTTTCTAATAAGTGCACTACTCCAAAACATGGAGGATGCCAACTCTGGCTTTACTGCAATTGCTATTAAAAGGACTAGAAGAATGAGACTGGGAGGCATTACATACGTTTGGGATGTTGGTGAAATCCCAAGAAAACCTTCATATGAGAGCRAAGACTGCAATTTGAATGACCTTATTCTAAAGGCATTATTATCTGATTAACACCTCTTAGGAAAATTAGTGCTTGTAAAGGAACATCTATTCTACAATCTGCTTTTAAAAGCAAAGTTAACATTATCAAACAGTAAAAGTCATTCTTTGTGTGTTCCTGTTCCTTAGCTGCAAATGTTTAGAAACGATCTCCTTTTCTTCTCTACCTCTACCGTGCAGCTTCCTAGTCACAGTTTCCATTTCCTTGTCTCCCATAGGGGCCTTTTGTCCCCCCTACCCCCTATTGCAGACAAGGCCTCCAACACTTCCTCCTACAGGGAATTTTCCCTGCCTTTGCCAGAAGGTAAGATCAAGCGTAGTGTGCTGGGCTGTGCACAGAGCCAAGCACACTGTGCGCTAGGGCAGGCAGAGGGATTTTCCCCTTTCTTGGTTTTGTGCAGTGAAAGGTGCAGGTGAGGGAGGGCTCTGTCTAAACAGTTACCTGGAGGTAACTGGAAAAGCCCAAGGAACAACTGTCTGCTCCCACCAGGCAGGAAAAAGCAAACGGGGGAAGGGAAGGAGTGGGAGGGGGGAGGAAGAAATCTGCTCTGTGTGGTGGCCACACAACGTGATGCAGCAGTCTGCGCTGCTGGCCACGGGCGCTGCGACAGGCTGCGGGTGCTGCGGCCGTGCGCGGGAGCGCGCAGTGACTGTGCTGCTTGGGGCCGTATCCCTGGCGCCTGCCATCACAGTCTGCATCTCTGCAGGTATTTAGCTGCTTGGAAAGCCCAGCAAAAGGTAGTAACTGAATTACAGCTACGCTGTGAAGAGCAAACCGGAATGCTCAGTTTGGCTTGTGAGTTGCAACATATGGTGGTAGAGCTTTGTGAACGATAAGGGAGCAAAGCTGCCACAGAGAGAGGAAAAGATGTCTCTTCCGCTAGAAGAGTGTGTGTTTCTGTGGGTAACTTGCTCCTTTCCGCTGGTTCAGCTGAGCTTTCAGCCGCTTCCCCGCCCCGCGCTGCCTGTTGGAGGATTTCGGCAGCGAGAGCCGCGTCACGTTACACTTGCTGACACCAGGAGCTGGCTCCTTCCTACCGCAGTCGTGCGCAGGAGCTCCGGGTCATGCTCTCGCACACCCGGCTCGGGACACTCRGCTCACAGCAGTGCTGAGTGCGGGGCAGGAGGCTCAGCTTTGTCATCTTAGTTTGGACGCGAACAACATCAGCTGTGACATCCAAAACTACCCCTCCTGCAGCCACCATGGTGGCCAAGGATTATCCCTTTTACCTGACAGCCAAGAGGGCAAACTGTGCCCTGGAAGCACAGGCAGCGGCCAGCCCAGCTAAAGAGACAGAGGTACTTAATGTGCTCGTGATGTGGTGGTGGCAGCTTGTTTTGTCTTTGCAGCCTGATCTGTGTTGCTTCAGGGAAAACTATTTTGCTTTAAAAATAGGTTTTTAAGTATAGGTACCTGCTTTGTTATGGGCATTTGTTATTGCTGTCTTTAGATGTTGAATTTTGGTTTGGAATAAGCCAAGGATCCAGAGCCTAGGTTTTGTCTGCTATCATTTTAAGAAATTAATACTTTTTTKGGGGGAGGGGCTAATTGAAACAGTCCCTTTTAGATAAGTAATTTGAAGTTTATAGTAAGTCAATGCTAACTTTTACTTTAAAATGTTACCTCTCATGGTTAGGGACTTGGGTAAGGGTGGGAGGAAATCTGGAGAAAGGTGTTTTAAAGCATTGTCTCAGTCTTCTGTCCATCAGGAATAAACCAAAGAATTAATCTGATTATACAGTTTACTCTCGACTATGCCATACCAGCAGGTTAACTGCTCTGTTTCTTAAAATACATTAAATCCTTTAATATGGCATTAAAAATGTATTAATTCTTCAAAAGCAGACTTATTCCCCTAAATGGTTGAACCTTTCAGGAGCTGTGTTCATGAAAGACTTAAATAGTTGATACTTTAGGTTAATGTTTAGTCTGCTTTGTGTGCTTTTTTGGAAAGAAAACAGTGACCTCAAGTATTTGGTCCAGCTGCACTGGAGGAGAAATAACATTTCTCCCTGAAAGTTTTTATCATTTCTATATATTCAGCTTTTTCATTAGTTTGTGTATTTAGTAGCTGGAAGATAACTTACTGAATTGGATGCATTTAGAAATACTCATCAAAGATCAATTATCTGCAGCAGCTGAATGGATCCAAAGTAAAAGCTGAATGGATCCAAAGTAAAAGAAACCCAAACCAAGTGTCCTTGTTTAATCGTGGTACATAGATAAAGAACATAACATACTGTACTTTTGTTTTCAGGGTACTTCTATATACAGTAATTTAATTATTCCAGTTAAAAGACTGCAGTTCTTTCAGCTGCATGTTTAAAACTGGAGTCTCCTGCACATATGTGCAATATTCATGCTGTTGAACACCAAATGGTTCACTTAAGGGAATTTGTTTAATTAAATTGAATATTTAAAGAAATATATTTTTAGTCTGTTTAGTGCTTATAGAATCTGTTGAGCRAGTGTCAGTGAGTAGAGTTGGCACATTGTCAAAGCTGGGCTGTTGTTCTCTTGCAGTTAAGAAGAAGAGCTTAGTTGCAGTCAAATGTCGAAGAAAATCTAAACTCAATGAAAGCCTGGAGCATGGAGAACAGTTGCAATCAATCAAAATTATAAAGTGCAAATATTTTGCTTAGGACAGTTGTTTTGGATTTATAATCTTTCCTGCTGTATTTTATCCAAATGAGATAATGCACCCTAAGCTTTCAGGCTGAAAAATGTTCTCTTCCAGGTGCACTAGAGATTTCCAGCATTGTGAAAAATAAGCTTTTAAGTAATCTTCTGTTTGTCTTAGCAGGGTAGGAAGCATCATCTGTCACTCAAAAAAAAAAAAAAAACACTAAGGGAACAGAAGTACCAAAACGAAAAAAACTCCCTTTGGGAAGAGCACTGTAAGGATGGGTGGGTGGAGCTGAGTCCCTTGGAGTCTGTCCATACTGAGGGAGGCTGAAAGGGAAACCCTTTCTCAAGCTCTTACTTTTTCCACTCTGTAGCACTTACAGGTCTAAATAAAGCTATTGGGCGCCTTCTACCACTATTTTGTGTTACTGCAGCAGAAAGCCACCTTGCCGGGTGTGCCTTTGGAGGTATTGGCTTCCAAAACCTGAGTTGAGCTTGAATTATCCATATGTGAACTTAGATTCTTTGATTAATAATATTTTTTTTAACATATTTTTGACATGTATAAAATGTATGAAATAGGTCTTCTGTTACAGTGGTGTATGTGTGTGCTTTTAAAAGCATAATATATGCTTATTATTTCCTCTGTTTAAAATAGTGTTCTGGTTTGGCTGGAAGATCTGGTACAGTGGTTCTTACGTGGGATGAAATTCGGTAAAATCCTTGAGCATATGCCTAGTTCAACGGTACTGATGTTAACAGAGGTGGGCGGGAATGTGTATACTTAACAGGGATAGGAGAGCATTTCACATGCTGTTAAGTTGTCTACTGAAATGGGTATACTCACTTTAGAAATCTCTTGACGGCAGAACAATTATCCTTATTAATGCTTTATCAGTGATTTAGAGGCATGAGAACTGACATTAAAATAGGCCAACTAACTAGGCTGTAAATTTTCAACTTCATATCTGTGCACGTATTGTTAAACTTCTCCCAAATTTCCAGGTGGAGGCCTCTGGGCAGCAAACTGGAGCTTACTGGCAGTAGACTTGTCCTTGGTTGGTTCTGTATTTAGTCTGCAGACCACAAGTGGAAACTGCTGATGGTTTGGAGGAACAAGGCAGTGCATAGCATGAGAGAAGCTAGAGCAGAGGCTTCCTGATGTGCAGGCTGTTGTGTAAGCAGCACTGCAGCTTCCCTGGTGGAGAGTCTGTGAAAGACACAAAATAATGACAAATAAAACATGAAAAATGCATGTTAATAGTAAAAATGTTGAGCCTAAGGAAAACATGCTGTATATGTGGCCAAAGTACAATTATCACAGTTATTTCTAAGTAAAATTAAATGCTATCTCTTGTTGTTAAGATATGAGATAAAATCAAAAAAGTTTCTTGCATCTAGGCAGGGCTTGTTGGAATACCCAATATCACTGGATGCCCAATACACTTTCTTTTTGAATTGGTCACGGAAGGCCATTATATGCTCAGCATGCTGTTCAAAGGCAACCACCAGCCAATTTCCTGTATCAAATTTGCAAGCTGAGCCCATAGTCGCAAGGCCTTGAGGCACAGAGCCAAAGGGAGGTGCAGCAGAGCTGTTGCAGTTTTACCCCAGTATAGCAGTTAAGGAAAGGTTCTATCTGTCACATTGTCAATATGAAAATAACCTAGTTGCTATGAATTAAAAAAAAAAAAAAAAAAAAAAAAAACACACCAACWATCTGCATGTTCTTAGTAGCATGTGAAGTCTGATACTCTGCTTGAGAATGTGCACAAAGGCAGATGCTGATGCAGCAGTGGCCCATTATGAAGCCTTCTGATACAGTAATACTAAGAATTCGTTAAGGTCTGATGCTTTTCCGTGAGGGATAAGGGATTTTCCTTATCCCAAATCTGTTGGGATAAAGACTGGCATAGTGATGATACAGCTGATGTGCTGTGTAGATGAGACATGCAGGTTTCTAATCATAGGGCCTTTGTTGCCTGAAAAGCTTTAGTTGTTCAGTATGAACAATCTTATCTGATTTCCTTTTATTCTTAAAGAAATAAAAATTATTATAACAAGGTTTGAGCCTGCTGATTTATATAAAAACAAGTTATATAACAGTCAGGAAGTTATTTGAGATGGAGATTTAGAAGCTTGTGCAAGCTTTGCAATGCAATCTGTGATTTCCAGAATGAAGTGGTGTATCCAAATACTGTTTTAAATCTTTCCTCACTGCACACTTTTCATGGACATGCCTTTGTAGGTTCCTCTAAGTGAAGCAGACCTCAGGTAGGTGTAATCTGACATAATATGTTCTAAGAGAATTCTATGTTGGTAATTCTGGGCACCCTGAGAAAGCAAATTAAAATCTATATTAATCAAATACTGACATGGCTACTGTTTCAACCACTTCTGTTTAACATTTCCTTGATCACCAGAAATCCAGAAGTATAATATAGCAGAAGTCTTTGAAATATYGCACTTCTCGTCTTTGTGAATTCTTACTCTAATATGTTACATGTAGAAAAAAACAAAGTTTAAGATTTTAGTGTAATTAGTACACTAATTTTTAAGCAATTAGTGTACTTAAGGACATTYGAAAAAAAATTGTGAAACTTTGCTTGAAATTGCATCATCTATGTATGGAAAGACCAACATGGGTAAGTTGCAACTTAATGCTTGGAATAGTACTATGACAACTCTTGTATGTCTTGAGCAACATCGAAGTAAATGGTGCTTGTGGACTAAAAATGGACTAGAAGGATTWAAAAAAGTGCAGTTAGAAGGAGAAGTTCAAGTGCTGTTGAAGAAGTTCAAGCTGTATTCTTTGTATTTTGACAAGGAGGTCCCTCAAAAATGCCTGTCTTTATGTTGTAATAAATGCGATATCACTTAAGGCTTGTAGGCTCGCAGAGAAAAGACATTTAGGATTGCAATTAGTTTTATCATTTAAACACAAATGTTTTTTGTAACCACAAACAAAGAGAGGAGACAACTTTGCTTAACTGTCCAAAGCTGCTCAATATTCATGCTAGAAAAAGATGTTCCTTCTTAAACCTCTACTTGTTCCACTTCTACAATTTTGTGCAAAGAAAATGAGGTCCTGTGGTAAAACGARGTGGCTGTTTCTCAGCAGGGCAGCGAGCAGCAGAGTTTAGCTCATAGTTTATTCAGCATCTTGTGTCCTGCAGATACGTTAGACCTAGACTGCAAACAGCTCTAATTCCTGTCCTTGTCTCCCAATACCCTGATTATTAATGTGCAGGGGAATGTCTGGGATGCCTTGTGCTCAGTACTGTGTTTTAATTTGGCAAGTGTCAGCAAAGGGGAGCCCAAGGAGGCTGTCCCAAGGCCTGTGGAACAGGGCACCCATTGCCAACAGGAAATAGGCATTGGGGCCAGAGGGAGAGAGGCCAAGAGAAGTTGTGATAAACTGCAAGTCGTGAATGTTCCTTAATCTTCTTAAAAGCATATGTTTTTTTTTTCCCCTCCATTTGTAGCGAAATATTAGGGAGTTGAAGTTGTGGTGTGTTCCAGGCAAATGTATTCTCATATGCTGTGAAATTGCAGGGGGCTAACCATGGCAAACGCCACGTTTGGAATTRCCTGTCTGTTCTGCCGAGCGGTAGAACAAGCAGCTCGCTTTTATTTTGCCTTTCAGTAAGTGCCTGTATGTCATCTGCTTGCT